GATGCAAAGGTCTAGGGAACTTGTGTTGGACTTTCAATGTACACAAGCATAAAATAGTAAATCTATGTTGCTTTAAGTCATTGTGAGTTAATTAATTGCAGCAGTAACAGAAGCCAATAGAGCTCCCGTCTTGAATATGCATTAAAGAGCCAGCTCCCAATGCTCTTATAAGTACAACAGTATTAGTTTTGTGGGGCTATCATGATGAAGTATCATAAACAATAGAAAAAAACATTTTATGGTTCTGGGAGCTATAAATGTGAGATCTTGGTGCTGGTAAGTATATTCCTTCTGTGAGTTATGAAGAGAATGTGTTCCACTCCTTTCTTCCACCTTCTGGTAATTTATCAATGCCCTTTGGCACTGCTTGGTTTGTGGATGTACCCAGAATCACCCCATTCACCCCATTCTCTGACTTCACCTTCACGTGACATTCTCTGTAAGGCTATACCTGTGCCCAAATTTCCCCTTTGTGTTAAGACAGCAGTCAATGGAATAGAGCTCACCACAAAGACATTTTGACTTGATTACTCTGTAGAGAGCTGCTCTGTGTGAAGACATAATTTTGACTTGATTACTCTGTAGAGAGCTTCTCTGTATTAGTATTGGCTTATCAGTATTGATCCCATCAGCTAGGAAAACCAGGGGCACTCATGGGTCCCCTACTCCTTGAGGCAGGCCCCCACAGACAATTCCCCTTTCCAAGTCAGTGTTGTGGCCCAACTGGTCCTTCTGGTTCTTAACATGATTGCAAGACAAACCCCACAAAAAATGGCTTGTTCCCCATAGTTTGTGTGGGGATACTCAACACGCTCAGGGTCACACAGCAAAGTTGCAGGTAGATAGAGAGTATGGGCCTGTGCTCTGATTTTATTAGGCTAGAGGATGGGGTGCCTAGTGTTCCTGAGTTTACTCTATATTGATGAATGTAAAACATACGAGTGTGATTGAAGCATGAGGAGGGAAACACACTGTCTCTCAAATGATCAGTTGTAGGTCAAACAGGGAATTCCAAAGGGAGACTTCCTGGGTGGGGTTACTTGGCTTTTTCTTAGTTAAGTATCTAGTGATGTGTTTATTCAAGATGGATGTCTTACAGCATGAATGGAACTGGAGGGGGAAATCCTAAGTGATAGTCCAAAGGAGAAAGACAAATACCAGGTGATTTTTTTAATATGTGTTTCTTTCAGATCAAGAAACAAAACAAAGGAACAGAACAAATGCTGTAAGTCTGACTGTACAACTGAGACTATCAGAGGGAGAGGATTTGAGGAGGAACAATGTGGGAAGATGCCCAGTGAAGTGTGGTGGAGGATTATGGGTGTGAATCTATACACCCAAATTATATTATATTCAATGTTGCAAAATGTTACCTTAATAAAAATAATACAATAAAAAATAATTTTAAAAGATTAGTGTCTTTGAAATGGTTACCTCCCTTAGAAATCAAAAGCTCCAGGGCCTCCCCAGTGGTGCAGTGATTGAGCGCTGGTTTGAGAAGCCACCCGCAGCCTCTGCAGTGCCGGTTCAGCCTCTGCAGTGCCGGTTCAATCCTCAGCCGCTGGGGCGACAGACCTCTTCTGCCACCCGCTGCTCCCCTCAGCAGTGTATTTCGTCAATCTGCCTGTTCTGCTCCCCGCTCTGGCTCTGGTGAATTCTCTCACCCTCCCACACTTCTGACTGTACCCAGTGCTTATATGAATAAATAAATAAATCTTTAAAAAAAAAAAAAGAAAGAAATCAAAAGTTCCATGTCAGGCACTCATATTATAATTTAAAAATAAATGTCAAGTTTTACATCACAAAATTCTGTCTCTACAGAGGTCACATTCTGAGGTGCCAATTTGCACTCCAACATATTCTTTTATTGGGGGACACAGTTCAACCCAAAAAATCAAATTTCAATTATGTGAGGACCACATATCAAAAACTCATCAAGCTCCAGAATTAAATAGAAAAGTAGATAATTTTCAGTGAAAAGATTTTTTTATTCTGTGAAACATTAGACAATATTATTTAAAGTCAATAAACTTTTATTTAGAGAAATTCACATAATACAATTCCTTCCACTGCCCATCAAGATTACTCTAGTTTTTCCAGTTTGAATCAAGATTTATATTCAAGGTAGCCCTTTTAAAGAATCTATGTTTTCTTATTGAAATATATTTGACATGTAACATCTTGAAAATTTCAGTACAATACGCCACATTGGTACATTTATATATTATAATACGATTGTCATTAAAAAAAAAGATCTTGCAAACAGCATTGAGAACCATTATGTTAATGATTGGAAGTTACACCATTCTACATTCATGCAGAGAAATATTTAAGAACACTTCTAATGAAGCTATTTCTAATAACACTAAAAAACAAGCAAATATATATTTACATGAATAAATAAGAGGAAACTATGCTTAATCACAATTCTATCAGACAGCCCACAATTCCTATAGTTGGGCATAGTTTATCTCCACTTGAATATGGACATACTGATAAACATACTTTAAAAATTCCTAGAAACTAGAATGTAATTTCTTCAAGCAATTTAATTTAGACCCCTATAGAGATTAAGTTCGAAATGTGTTCACCACTAAACTATCACACCCAACATTTGTACAGATTTCTGGGATAAACTGATACCTAAAATAATAAATATATATATTAACTTTTAGATCTTACATTTTTAGCATCTCTGATTTGTGTTCTTTCTTGTAGAGTTAACAAATAGGTCCCGAGTAATGCAAGTGTCACGTGTACTCTATGAGGCTTCTCCAATGATCTGGGCTCACAGGAAAAGCCCTCTTGGGGTAAGCTCAATTCCGGATTTCTATTTTGCCATCCTGTGTTAGCGCCTTCAAGATTCACTACAGTGAGGAATTGCTCTCCCCATTCGTACTTCTACTTGTGAGCCAAGTCCTACAACCCCCTCTGTATCCCATTTCCTTCTACAGGAGGACTGTGATGTCCTGCTCGACTTTTTTGTGACAGCCCTTAGTTAGCTGTTGGGATGCAAAATAAGCAGTCAGAGGAAGCTCAGGAGAAGAGCTAATACCAATTAGCTAATACCAATTGCCAATGATAATATCTTCAGATGAGGTCAGAATGTAGCATCAAGGCTCGAGAAAACTTCCTATATTTTAGAGAGAGAAGCTCCTCATGACAACTGAGAGGATGCAATATCATTTGTGAATTCATGATCCTCACTTTTCTCACATAAATGTGCCTGTTGTAGATCCTGATCCCCAATCATTCCCTAGCAGGACATGACTTTAACGACAACAAGAATGCTAGTGAGACTACACATTCTTTGCATTTCTACTATCTTTGTTATAAAGTCTTGAAATGGATTCAGAGCACAATCTGTTTGCAGAAGATGTGGTTGCAAACAGTGGCCATAGCAGCTCTAGGTTAAAAGCATATCCAAAAGGCTTATTAGAGTGTACTGGGAGGCACCTAAATTAAAACCCAAATACACCACTTTTCATGTTTTCCTGGTCATAAACTAGAAGACTTAAACTAAAACTGCTAACTAGAATCTACTGCTGTGCAAACCTTGCAGGATAAAACTGTAGCAGCTGTGATCTATGATAAACTGCTGAGATGAATTAACTCTGAAATTCAAATAATCTGAAAAACGTGGGATAGATACAGATATAGTAGATATAGATTAATTCATTTTGGCATTCACAAATTGCCATTCCCACACAAAGAAATGTGTTATCTTTTTCTAAAGCTAAAGGAAACCTAACATTCCCAGTACAATAAAAATAATACCAATTTAGCAATCTTCATATGATATAAGGATTTATAATAAAAATAGAAGCACAAAATAAGCAAAATTATTTATATTTATATTGAATTTTCTATATAAATAAAAGTACAGATAAATGAAATGAGAAATATTCTTGGTCATCTGTGTAGTGTTGATAGTGACAAAAGTTGATATCCTCTTCCATTGCATAAATGTAATATTTTTGCAAATTTCTGTCTTTCTCAAAACTCTCTTTTCTGGCTCATATTCAAAATCACTAAAATAATTCATATCTGTGATGTAAGTATTTCTTCACAGTCTGAAAATCTTCCTCTAGTTTATAACATTCTTTCTTTAGTTACTATTTCAAAAATCCCTATCATCAACCACTTGCACTTTTTTATTCTAATCCACATAAATGTATCTACCTTAATTTGAGTCATCTGTGCTATAACCACTATAGCCCAAAATAATGAATACATTATAATTTTTATGAGTCAAAAAATCTTAATACTACCCCAAAGTTAAGAAGGTTCATTTCAGAAGCAAAAAGAATTTTTCTTTAAAAAGAATAACAATATAAGTACAAACCTAACCTTCAGAAGATTTCTAAGATCAAAGAACTTCTTCAGAAGGGGAAATTTGTCATCATGTTCTATCACAGTTCTAGAGTGATTTGAGTAAATATATAAAATAGGTGGAAGTATAATCCCAAGAAATAGAAGTTAATCTAGCTAGATTACATACTGGTCCTTAAACATGAACATTCTACAATTTATTGAATAGGGTACTTCCTATTTAGTCAGAAAGAGCAACAAAGTTGAAAGTCCATGATCAGATATTATGAGATCACTGTTTGGAGGGAAAATATACCAGGCTGTGTTCGTATACATATAGAAGTATAACTATGAACAAACAACATGAGACGTCAAAATAAGCAAGGATGGAAAATGCTAGATCAAAGTCACAGTGATACCAAGCAGGCAAGAAAGCCAAAGACACAGGTTGAGCATCGAAAGCAAGGCACCAAAACAATGGCTGTCTGTACCTCCTGTTGTCTATTCTTTTACATAAGACTAGCTCAACACTAACCATGTGTTAGTTTATGTGTTCACATAAAGTATTTTATTGAAAGAATCCTCATACCCCAAGTTAGTATTATATGAATTCCACAACAGAAGATGATGTTGCCTATGGATTTATCATAGCTCAATCCAAACCACAAAGAAAAAAGTGAAATTTCCATTCACCTTTTATCATCTGAGACCAACTTCTTGCTCCATAACTTCTTCATGGCATTTTTCACTTCCGCATTTCTCAGAGTGTAAATCAGAGGGTTGAGCAAAGGTGTTCCAAGTGTATAAAACACAGCAATCATCTTATCCATGGGGAAGGTGGTTGCAGGGCGTGTGTATATAAATATGCAAGGGCCAAAGAACAAGACGACCACAATGATGTGGGAGATGCAGGTGGACAGGGCTTTTCTCCTCCCTTCAGCACTATGGTTTCTCAGAGAATGCAAAATGATGACATAAGAGAACATCAGCATGACAAAACTCACTGTGCAGATAGCCCCACTGTTGGACACCAACAGTAGGTTGATGACATAGGTGTCTGCACAGGCAAGTTTCAACAAGGGCTGCAAGTCACAGAAATAGTGATCAATCACATTGGGGCCACAGAAAGGTAAACTCAAGGTCAGAAAAATCTGAACTAAAGAATGCACACAGGACCCCACCCAGGCCACAGCCACCAGCACAGTACAGACACGTCGGTTCATGATGGTCATGTAGTGCAGGGGCTTACAGATGGCCACATAACGGTCAGCGGCCATGAGGATTAGAATGAAGATCTCCAGGCACCCAAAGAAATGGAATGAAAAGACTTGGATTATGCACTCATTGAAAGTGATAGTGCTACTTTTCACAAGGGTGTCCACAATCATTCTAGGGGCTATGGTAGCAGAGAAACATGTATCAGATAAGGATAAATGAAAAAGGAAGAAGTACATGGGGCTCCCCAGTGCTGGGCTGGTCTTGATGGTTGCAATAATCAGAGAGTTACCCAGCAATGTTCCCAGATAGAAAAACAAGAAGGTGATAAATACTATTTTCTTTTTCACAGGATCCTGAGTCAACCCAAGTAGAATAAATTCAGTCACATTATGGTCCAGATACATGATTTCATGAATGAAGAGAAGTTTTAAGTGTGAGCTGATTTATCTGCAAAAGTAAAGAAATTAATTCATGGTGTGATATATGAATTATTGGGTATTTTAAAAATAAATATTCTTTATCATGGACGTTTAACAGTGACTTCTCAAGTCACATCCATGCTTTGCTGTAATGACAATGACTACTTCGTAGGTCAGTAAGTATTTCAAATCAGCTTGACAATGTTTAACTTTTTGAGACCCTCTTCAATTACAAACCATTGTAACTTTTACATCATTCTGATTCATTTTGACAATACAATGAATTTAAAGTTGAGATATGACCCCATCTGAATTTCTTTTTATTCATATTTGATAAATGAGACCCGTGCTTGTGGATACATTTCAATGCCCTTAAAGGCTGAGAACATAAATGTAAAATCACACCCATTCCAAGCCCATAAAAAAAATCATCTCTATTTTTTATGGAAATGTATATTGTTTTGTTTTAAATGTCATTTTTAATTCTACTTATTTAGTATATTCTCAGTAACTTTAAAAATTGTTCATTTTTTCTGTTCCTTTCTGAGAGGAAGTGGAAGCAATAGGGCATAAGACATGGATATAGAAATTAGGTTGGATTATTCCATAATGATGCCTCTCAGTACAAAGATGTAAATAATTTGTCACTTACCTGTTAAAGCACTCTAAATGAGTGTCAAGCCTAACGCTCCCTTTATCAAAGCAGCCATCCCATAGAATACTAGGGAAAAAATCCCCTTTCCTCATTCTAGAGGGAATATTAAAACTTAGTGACGTAAGATGTCAGCATCTGGGAGTAGTATTCCCTAAAGTTTACTTTCCTGTGCTAATCAGAAACATCCCAGATGTTATAATAAATTTAACTTTTGTTTTGTCCATTTAACCTATATAAAATAACAAGTTAACTCTCTTGATACTCAGTAATCAAAGGGAAACAGTGTTTGGTGATATGAGGTCTCCCACTGACCAGATACCAGGTAAAAGGGAAAAATACAAATGGATGGCAGAGAGGGTGACCTGGAGAATAAAAAGATGTAATGTCTTCGGTAAAAGGAAGATTATCAAGAAATCACTATGCTCTCATCTGGTGTTATGCTGCCCCTCCTTACATTAGGAGACAATCTTTCCTAGCTCTGAGTCATTTATTTGCAAGCACAATCCAGAAGAGGCACTATGGTATTCTGGAGGCAGAGGTTCTATTCTTTGTGCTGACCTGAGGATGAATATTGATACTCAGCAATGAATAGACACTCATATTATTTCAAATTTATTCCTAATGCACATTCCTGATGTACATGAGTAAAAAGATACTTATTTAGGAATACACTTTATTGAAATAATTTTACTTCTCCAAAATGTATTGATTACCTTTTATACACCGTTCTTTGCTTATCACACTGCATAAATAATAGTTCTTCATTTACACAAATAATCCATGATGTAGATATTAATAATGACGTTTCATATAAAAAAAAGAACTTGCAGAGTTGAGCAGTGAGCCCCTATCACACATCTAGTAAGTTCAGTCTGGACATCTGTGTTCTGACTCTGTATTCATGATTTGTCCTCTTTCCACACATTTTCCTGACACTAGGCTAAATTGAAAACCAAGAAGTAAACAGAAAATGACAATGATGAAGTAAATTTCTAAAAGCTAGCAGTAGTGTCTCAGCTTAGAGTTTGGAATGAACACAAATGCAATGAGAAGAGGTTGAAATTCAGGTAGCCATAGAACATACAGGGAGACTGTTCAGTGGGAAACTGGGTTTTTTTTTTTTTTTTTTTTTAGTATGAATTTCATGTTAGGGCTGTAGAATTGTTGGGGGCCATGACTTGTGGCTGATTGTTTAAATCATGAGATTGAATAACACATTTAAAAATACATCGTTTGGGAAAATGAGCTAATGACAAAATATAGGACTATATCAACATTTAAAAGAATCTCTGAAGATTCTCAAGAAGTATATTCAAATAATCATAAGCAAAATTATGAAAGGACAGAGACATGGCACTCAAAGAAGCAGACTTTCAGGAAGAAATGAGTGGAGAGCCTCCCTGGTGGTGCTAGCGCTTGAGCGCCACACTGTGAAGCTGTCAGCAGCCTCTGTAGCACGGGTTCAATCCCAACCAGCATGGGAGAATCCCATATGGCGCAGCAGACCTCTCCTGTCTCACTCGCTGCTCCCCTCAGCAGTGTATTTTGTCGGTCGCCTGTTCTGTTCCCCACTCTGTTTCTGGTGAATGCTCTCACTCTCCCACACATCTGGCCTGTACCCCAGTTCTTGTATAAATGAATAAATCTTTTTAAAAAAATGAAGTGAGTGGAGTGAATTTTCTGGATAAGAAAGCCAATGAGCACTAGTGGCTGAAACTCAGGTGCATCCATATTCTGCTTGAATGATCAATTGCTGAGAAGGTAAAAGTAGGAAAACTTTCATTAGGACCAGAAACAAGGAAATCATCCTTATTTTATTGCTAGACTCTTAGCACATCCTGTAAATGGTAAATACTTATTGAGGGTATAGATTATAACTATCTTATTGTCTAGTAAAGTAATTATAAACAACACATCATCAATTCCTTAGTAAGTGAGTGTATGGATAAAACAAGTCAATCCAAACTGAAAATGAATTTGAGTGACAATTTATAACTATCTTTCTTAGAAAATTACCTATGTAATGGTAAATTATCACATCTTGGGACACAATGGTTCTGGGAGAAAACAACAAATGAGACATTTAATATGTCAGGCTGTTCTCATAAGAGATGGTGATATTCCTCATGTTGTGATATGGAATCCTCGAGAAGGTGGATTGATTCTACCTTAGATGAACATTTGTTCTTCTGTTGCAAGCATATCTACACACTTGCAGATACATCCTGTTTGCCTTTTAAGATGGTAATGATGAGTTGCAGAACTGTCTTAGAAGTAAGAACAAAGTGTGAAGGGAGAAGAGTGGACTACGGTGGTGGACTATGGGTGCTTCGGTGGTGGGGGCACAAAGATACAAACACTTGGTGGGCACAAGATGGGGAGTCCTATACCTCTAAAATATAAACCATGATGTAAACCAATATTACCTTAATAAAAAAAAATTAACTGCCTTTGTAGGTACTGATTTGGTTGTTTTTGCCTGACTAAAGTGGGAGTATGACTCCCTTGTGGTTGCTCAGAAAACATTTCCCCCAAGTTACCAAGATGGGATCAGAAATTCAATAGCAGATGAGATGCAAACTCAATGTTTTTATTTGGACAGTTAAAGTCATTACTTTTTTTTTTCTAACAGACTTAGAATTGCCTATAATCTTTCCCTGTGTGGACACAGCCTGAACCAAACTGGAGCTAATCACAAAAAGAGGAAACAGAACCAACAAGGAAATGAAGCCAGCTTATAGAATAAAATTTCAACAGAACTCACTTATTTTCAAACCATGTCAGCATGTTTCACTTTGCTTGTTTTATACTATTGTTTTTTATATTTATTTAAATAATATAATGAATACTTGTAAATTAACCTCCATCCTTAGAACTGAAATATTGCCAATGATTAGGTTGATTTAACCCCTTCCTCATCCTGCCCCTGCTTCAGCCTAAAGGTAACCAATATTTTGATCTTTTAAGTGTATGTTTATCTTTTGGAAAATAAAATAACTTTATAAAACCTGTATGCTTTTTAGTTTTTCCTGGTTTTGAATTTTAAACTTAGCATACTATTTTTATTTCGGTATTTAGGAATTGTTTTTATTTTATTTAGCATTGTTGCTAAGACTTTTATTACTTGTTGACTATAGTTTAATTTTCACAGCTAAACCGTATTCCCTGGTGTAACTGTTCCAAATTATACTTATCCATTATCCTTGCCATTAATATTTGACTGCTATGAACAGTAATTATGAGCATTTTTGAGCATGTCTCCTAGGAGTGTAATTGATAAATTGCTGGATGTAGCAAACTTCAGCTTCAGAACATGATATCACAAATCTCCACAATGAGATGCAAATCTCAGGAAATGCAATCTAATCATGTGTTGAAAAAACAAACACCTGGAATATGGGTAAACATATCTAATAACCTCCACATAGTAAGCAAAGTATTAAATAGAATAATGTACTATTGTCGTTTGTTTTAATTAAGAAAATGCATACATTTGTAATCTGTGAAACACCTTACATTTATATTCTGTTAATGTCAATTTAAAAGTCAGTACTTAGCTACTTATCTGTGTTAGATTTGGAGTAAAATTTGTCGAATACTGAAATAGACTGGTCTGTGAGAAGGGAGTTTCTCTGAGTCAAAAGGACTTTTCCTTATTTATGAAATATTAAGATGTGATCTAGAAAGTTAGATTTGAAAACTATGATTATGCTTCTTTCCATAAGTAACATCTTCATAAAAATATTTCCATCTACTCCTACACTCTAAAATTAATTGAAGATGATTTATAGAGATTCAGGAAGACATGATCATGAAGAATCCTAGAATATTATATGATACTGTGAATTTCCTTTTTCCCTAAAATATAGCCTGGGCTCAAAACTATTAATGCATTAAAAATCTCTACAAATAGGTGACCCCTGGTGACCTTGAGTCCTCAGTGCTCCTGGCACCTTCTAATGCCAGACTCTGTTTGTATTTACTTTATCTTACAATAAATTACTTAAAAGTGAAAAATTCAAAAAGATGACCTAATCCAAGACAGATTTACCTTCATCTTGTTTCATACTTTAAAAACTCAAAATAAAGAGGTGATATGCGTTGCGAGGGGTGGAGGGATGAATAGGTGGAGCACAGGGGATTTTTAGGACTGTTAAGACACTTTCTATGATACTTTAATGATGATTATGTGTCATTCATTATGCATGTGCCCAAGCCCATAGAATGCCCAACACAAAGAGAGAACCCTAAAGTAAGCAACGGACTTGAATGATTGTGATGTTTCAATGTAAGGTAATCAGTTGTATTAAATTCACCATTCTGCTAGGGG